TGGGAAAGCCAAGTGGGTCATGTCCACCCATCCTTCTGCAGGGCAACCCAGACACTGTGGTGCCACCCATGGGGCAATGCTCTGCTCCTATCTGTTGTTGCTCTAGTTTCTTTCTAATACAGAAACATCCAACATCTGCACCTCCTCATATAGGGTTGATCCAAGTTTCACAGACATCACTGAGTTCTTAGTGGACTCAGTTACTGGGGCTGTTTTCACACTGTTTTTTTTTTTTTTTTTTTCTTTCCAAGAATGTGTAATGGGTGCAAGTGTACCTGTATAGGACGTCCAGTGAAACACTGTGGTGGTGAATCAGCTAGAATTCATCCAAGAATGCAATCAGCCTGGTGTGGGGTGAGATCGATCCTTCCTTCAGTGTCCCTCAGTCCCTTTTAGGGCTGGCAGGTTCAGAAGGGCCCTGCTCATCAGCCCCCCAGGGCCCCACTCCTTGTTTAACGCTTTGCTATCACAGTCTTGAAATCCTTGTAATTGAACAAGGGACCCCACATTTTCACTTTGCACTGGTCTCTGATTCTGTAACTGATCCTGTCCCCTCTCTTGTCTCATTCACTCTGGGAATTGTCCCCATATTCGGAGACCTTTCGGCAGTGCCTCAACGAGGTTCCTGCCCCTGAGGCTCCGCCCTCACCCCCACGGCGGCACCCCAGGCAGCCTTGCTTTTGCGTTCCGCTAGGCAAGCTGTGCACCGGAGTCACGACCCCCTGATTCAGCCCGGGCAGCCACCGCTTGCCTGCTCCCGCCGAGGACAGCCCTACTGTCCTATCTGCTGCTCTTCCCTTCCTCTTCCCAGGGAGTCCGCATCAGAGGAGGTGCAGCTGTGTGTATTCCGGGAGCTTCAGAACCCCATGTCCAGCAGCTCCTTGGTTTCTGGGAGCTGGGGCGGCCTTCCCAGCGCAGAGCTCAGCTCAGCGGGATGTTTTGAGGCTCTCTGCCCCAAGGCGCTGGGGAGTATGGGGCGGGATAGTGGTGCTAGCCCCTTTCAGTTTCAGAGTGTCCACGCCCCACCCGTTTGGTCACTGCGGGTCAGTCCAGTCCAGCCGGGTCCACCCCACCGGTGCGTGTCTGTCGCACGTGCAGAGGCCATACTCTCTGTTCTTGTTTAAAGTCCGGGATCTACGGGGCCCCGGAGGCAAGAGGTGAACGCCGCGGAACCCACGCGGAACTGCCCGGGAACGCAGCTTCCAACCCCAGAGGGAGGCCTATGTGCTCCTACACCTTAACCCTTTTTAGACCTAAACTTCTCCAACTTCCTTGGCTTTGTTTAGAGCTCGACAGCGCCGCCCCCTGGCGCTCGTTGTGAGGACAGTAGAGGAGAGAGGCCAAGGTGGTTTTTTTTTTTTTTTTTTTTTTTTTTTTTTTGAGAAGGAGTCTTGCTCTGTCCCCAGGCGGAGTGCAGTGGCGCGATCTCGGCTCAAGGTGTTTTAAACCGTTTGTCCCATCATTATGGGGGCGCACCTGAGGGGGAAGACACACTCTTCCGCATTCCCGGTAAGTGTACTACCTGATGAGGTCGAAAGCGACAGATTCCCATCTCCTCCTCCAGCCCTCCCCACCCTGCCCATCCACAGGACCGTGGCTCTTCAGTGCCCTTTGCTGAGCAAGTGATATTTCTATGCACCTCGGTATCAATTCGGCCTCTGGACGAAATGGAAACCTCCTTAGCCGACCCGGGTAGGATCCGCTGGGATCCCGCAGCGTCTCCCCCGGGGGCACTGCCAGCCACTCTGTTGAGGTGAGAGAAGCACGTCCCTCGGAAGCTGGACAGAAACTGGCCAGGATGACTTGCTCCCACGCGCCTGCTCCTACCCGGCGCCGCAGCAATCCACCTGCCACGGCCTCTGAGCGGGGTCCGGACCTCGGCGCCCTGACGGTGTCCCCGCGGTTTCCCCACCCGACGAAATGGAGTCTGGCGTTGACTCGTGCGTGCCCAGGGACTTGCGGGTCCCTGGCCAGCCATAGGGCAGAGGGCGCTGGTGTTAGGCCAGTCTTCCCCGCCCTGCCCCTTCACCCCAGCCACACCCACTGTCCTGTGAGGCCAAACGCTCCGCCGGTTTCCTGAGCCAGGCACCCAGGCCGGGGATGGGATCCAGCTGTTTCTCCTTGCGATCCTGTCTTTGGGGAAGTCCACGTCCTAGGCAGTTCCTGCCAAAGTTCCCTTGGTGCCGATCACCCCTCCCAGCGTCCTGCAGGTCCTGTGCACCATCTCCCCCACGCTCCATTCAAAGCCCTCTTCTCTGAAGTCTCCGGTTCCCAGAGCTCTGCAGTCCAGGCTTTCCTTGGAAGTGGCCGTAACATGTATGAAAAGAAAGAAAGGAGAACCAAGAGATGAAAGAGGGTTGCACGCATGGGGGCCGGAGTGGTGGGGGCGGGGACAGTCGTCTCGCTACAGGGGTGCTGGCCTTCCCTGGCGCCTGCCCCTACCGGCCCCGCCCGAGAACTTCCCTGCGCCAGGGCAGAGTTTACTCATCCCCGCGAGGTGATCCCATGCGCGAGGGCGGGCGCAGGGCGGCCAGAGAACCCAGCAATCCGAGTATGCGGCATCAGCCCTTCCCACTAGGCACTTCCTTCCTTTTCCCGAACGTCCAGGGAGGGAGGGCCGCGCACTTATAAACTCGTGCCCCGGCCGATCCTCATGTCAGAGGCTGCCTCGCAGGGGCTGCGCGCCGCGGCCAGAAGTGTCTGGGCTGGGATGGACAGGAGCGGCTGTCGCCATCCGCGCCCTGCGCTCCTCTGCTCCGGCACGGCCCAGTCTCAGTGCCAGCGCTTTCCTCGGCGCCTGCACGCTGTGCGCCTGGGTAACATGCTCGGGGTCCTGCTCCTTGGCGTGCTGACCCTGGCCGGCCCGGGGTTCCCTGCACCCGTAGAACCGCAGCCCGGTGGCAGCCAGTGCGTGGAGCACGACTGCTTCGCGCTCTACCCGGGCCCCGCGACTTTCCTCGATGCCAGTCAGATCTGCAATAGACTGCGGGGCCACCTAATGACAGTGCGCTCCTCAGTGGCTGCCGATGTCATTTCCTTGCTACTGAGCGGCGACCGCGGCGTTAGCCGGCGCCTCTGGATCGGCCTTCAGCTGCCACCCGGCTGCGGCGACCCCAAGCCCCTCGGGCCCCTGCGCGGTTTCCAGTGGGTTACGGGAGACAGCAACACCAGCTACAGCAGGTGGGCGCGGCTCGACCTCAATGGGGCTCCCCTCTGCGGCCCGTTGTGCGTCGCTGTCTCCGCTGCTGGGGCCACTGCGCCCGGCGAGCCGGTCTGGGAGGAGCAGCAGTGCGATGTGAAGGCCGATGGCTTCCTCTGCGAGTTCTACTTCCCAGTTACCTGCAGGCCCCTGGCTGTGGAGCCCGGCGCCGCGACTGCTGCCGTCTCCATCACCTACGGCACCCCGTTTGCGGCCCGCGGAGCGGACTTCCAGGCGCTGCCGGTGGGCAGCTCCGCCGCGGTGGCGCCCCTCGGCTTAGAGCTGATGTGCGCCGCGCCGCCCAAAGCGGTCCAGGGGCACTGGGCTAGGGAGGCGCCGGGCGCTTGGGACTGCAGCGTGGAGAACGGCGGCTGCGAGCACGCGTGCAATACGATCGCAGGGGCTCCCCGTTGCCTGTGCCCAGCCGGCGCCGCCCTGCAGGCAGACGGCCGCTCCTGCACGCACTCCTGCAACGACCTCTGTGAGCACTTCTGCGTTCCCAACCCCGACAAGCCGGACTCCTACTCGTGCATGTGCGAGACGGGCTACCGGCTGGCGGCCGACCAACACCGGTGCGAGGACGTGGATGACTGCTTGCTGGTGCCCAGTCCGTGCCCACAGCGCTGTGTCAACACACAGGGTGGCTTCGAGTGCCACTGCAAACCTGGCTACGACCTGGTGGACGGCGAGTGTGTGGAGCCTGTGGACCCGTGTTTCAGAGCCAACTGCGAGTACCAGTGCCAGCCCTTGAACCAAACAAGTTACCTCTGCGTCTGCGCGGAGGGCTTCGCGCCCATTCCCCACGAGCCGCACAGGTGTCAGATGTTTTGCAACCAGACTGCCTGTCCAGCCGACTGCGACCCCAACACCCGGGGTAACTGTGAGTGCCCTGACGGCTACATCCTGGACGATGGTTTCATGTGCTCGGACATCGACGAGTGCGAAAACGGCGGCTACTGCTCTGGGGTGTGCCGCAATCTCCCTGGTACCTTCGAGTGCATCTGCGGGCCCGACTCGGCCCGTGTCCGCCTGATTGGCAAAGACTGTGACTCCGCCGAAGTGGATGGTGGTGACGACGGCTCTGGGGAGTCCCCCCCAGGCCCGACGCCCGGCTGCACCTCGAGTCCCCCGGCCGTGGGGCGCGTGCATTCGGGCGTGCTCATAGGCATTTCCATCGCGAGCCTGTGCCTGGTGGTGGCGCTTTTGGCGCTCCTCTGCCACCTGCGCAAGAAGCAGGGCGCCGCCAGGGCCAAGATGGAGTACAAGTGCGCGGCCCCTTCCAAGGAGGTAGTGCTGCAGCCCGTGCGGACCGAGCGGAAGCCGCAGAGACTCTGAGCGGCCTCCGTCCAGGAGCCCGGCTTTGGCGTGGCCTTTCTCTCCCTCCTGGGCCTCCTCACCCCCAGCTTTGCTACCCAAAGCACCTTAGTTGGCATTACAGCTGGAGAAGACCCTCCTCGCACCCCCAAGCTGTTTTTTTCGATTCCATGGCTAACTGGGGAGGGAGTGATTAGAGAGAGGAGAATGAGCCTCGGCCTCTTCCTTGACGTCACTGGACCACTGGGCAGAGATGGCAATTTTGCAACGAAGACACAGACTGCGATGTGTCCCAGGTCCTCGTCACTGGGCGCAGGAGGGTGAGCGTTATTGGTCAAGAGCCTTTTGGGCAGACCTTGTCCTCGTGGGCTAGGGATGACCAAAATATTTATTTATTTTTTAAGTATCTAGGTTTTTGTTTGTATCCTTTGTTCCTACCTGTATGTCTCCAGTATCCACTTTGCACGGCTCTCCGGCCTCTCTCTCTCTCTCTCCAGACTCCCACTTGTCATGTGACAGCTAAACTATCTTGGTGAATTTGTTTTTTTCCTAGCCCTCTCACATTTATGAAGCAAGCCCCATTTATTCCCCATTCTTCCTAGTTTTCTCAGCCCAGGAACTGGGCCAACTCACTTGAGTCACCCTACCTGTGCCTGACCCTACTTCTTTTGCTCTTAGCTATCTGCTCAGACAGAACGCCTACGTGAAACAGAAATAAAAACACTAAAAGTAAAAATGGCCATTTGCTTTTTCACCAGATTTGCTAATTTATCCTGAAATTTCAGGTTCTCAGAGCGAAATAATTTTAAACAAATGTTGAGATGTAACAGGTATTAAATTGATGTTGCTGGACTGTCATAGAAATTACACCCAAAGAGGTTTTTATCTTTATTTTTAAACAGTGAGCCTGAATTTTGTTGCTGTTTTGATTTGTACTGAAAAATGGTAATTGTTGCTAATTTTCTTATGCAGTTTTCTTTTTTGTTGTTATTACTTGTTTTTGACAGTGTTGAAAATGTTGAGAAGGTTGCTCTAGATTGAGAGAAGAGACAAGCACCTCCCAGGAAACAGTTTAAGAAAGTTTTGAACTGCAAGATTCATGCCAATTAGCAATTGACTCTCACTGTTCTTGTCACTGGTAGACCAAAATAAAACCAGCTCTACTGGTCTTGTGGAATTGGGAGCTTGGGAATAGATACTGGAGGATGCCCAATTAGGGCCTAGCCTTAATCAGGTCCTCAGAGAATTTCTACCATTTCAGAGAGGCCTTTTGGAATGTGGCCCCTGAACAAGAATTGGAAGCTGCCCATGGGAGCTGGTTAGAAATGCAGAATCCTAGGCTCCACCCCATCTAGTTCATGAGAATCTATATTTAACAAGATCAGCAGGGGGTGTGTCTACTCAGTAATTTGAGGACAACTGTTCCAGACTGCTTCCAATTTTTCTGGAACACATTAAATATGGATCAGTCATAAGTAGCAGGCCAAGTCAGGCCCTTATTGTCAAGAAACTGAGGAATTTTCATTGTGTAGCTTTGCTCTTTGCTAGAAAAGACTAGGTACACAGCTCTAGACACTGCCACATAGGATCTGCAAGGTCTTTGGTTCAACTAAGCCAGGAATGAAATCCTGCTTCAGTATATGGAAATAAATGTATCATAGAAATGTATCTTTTGTAAGACAAAGGTTTTCCTCTTCTATTTTGTAAACTCAATATATTTGTACAGTTATTTATTTATTGGAGAAAAACTAGAACACAGGCAAAATCCTTGCTTATGACGTCACTTGTGCAAAATAAACAAATGACAGTGTGCTCTCGGGTTGTGTGTCTGTTCACTTTTCCTCCCCCAGTGCCCTCATTGTATGTCATTAAATGGGACTCACAAACCATGCAAATGCTATGAGAAGCAGGGAGGCCTGCCCTGTACCCCAGCACTTGTGTTGTCTGGTGATGGCACCATCTCTGATTTTCAAAGTTTTTTCTAGAGGCTATGATTTTCACTGTAGAATGATTTCATACTATCTCTGTGTGCACAGATATTTATTTATTTTCCTTCTGTAACCATAACAACTTCATATATGAGGACTTGGGTCTCTGTGCTTTTAAACACATTATAGGATTATTTGTTGGAATGAATTAAATAAACCCTTCCTGGGGCATCTGGCGAATCCCAGCTGTGTGTCCTGTGTATGGTTTGGCGTTATCTCCTCTGCGAGATATCCAAATTCACTGTAGTCATGAAGGGTCTCAGTTTGTGGCTCTAATTCAAGTATTCATTTCTAAATGTCTCATCCAGTATGAAATCATTCTCATCTCTGTTGGAGATTAAAAACTTCGCCTTTTCAATGCACACATTTCTTCGGCTCACTTTTCTAGGATGGTAGGGCTGGCTGAATCCAATATGCAGGGCCCAGAAAGATTTTTTAAAGAAGAAATTAAAGTAGAGTCCAGGCAAATATTCAAATGCTTTATATATCTGGATAATGCCAAACTCGTGAGTTTTAGTTTGAATGGTTATTGTGAAGACAGGGTTGGAGATTTTGACATCCATTGCAGATGAAGTGATGGCTGTAGTGTGTGTGCTGGGGCAGCTGCCATGCACCATGCCCTATGGAGAAAACAAGCTGAGCCATGCTCTCCCTAAGGAGTAGTCTACATCTTTGTGAAGAGCTACACAAGTGGGGGCAGGACAGGTGCAGGTAAATGAGGCTGGGAGACCAGAGAAGACAGTGATACCTTACAGTTTGCCCCTGTTACCCAGCCTTCTGTTTTTCAAAAGGGTCTGCTCCTAGTCACTGTCAAATCGACTTGTAGGACCTCATTGCGTTAGGATTTCTTGTTATTCCAGAAGAAGGGCATTTTCTTAAGGAACACTGGAAGACCAAAACACACTTTCAAAACCCAGAGGCAAAAACCTTCATGCGGCATCTTGGGCCCCAGGACATTAGTTGTGTGGGGCCCTGAGCTTCCCTGTCCTCCTCACTTCCTGCTGCCTGGGGGATCAGCAGCTCTGTTTACCGGTCTCATCTGAACTTGAGATTCTCAAAACGCTAAATAGCCACAGTGCCTCTCAGGGAAAGACACCAGGACCACATAAACAAATCAGTTAGCTTTAAAAACTGTCCCTGAGCATTTAAAATCAGGACAGACCTAATGAAACCAGTGCCATGGGTCAACCTGAGTGGTCTCTGCTTTCTGTTCACATCATTGGACATCCAGGTCTGACGGAAACTCCCAGGGACCAGATGCTGGTGGTATTTCACAGCATGAAAGGCTGGGGCAAGAAAGCCAAGGTGGTATTTCTGGATAAGCCAGCATTCAAGTTTTTTTTTTTTTTTTCTTAGCCTGCTGTTATAAAGCAAACAGAATTCATTTTTTAAGTCAAATGACTTTGTTATCTTTTTTTTCCCCAATTCTCACCTCTTTTCTTAGATTAGTTCAGCAATTATCCACTGAGCACTTACTCTGTGCCTTTCATGGTGATAGGTACAATGACTAGTCCCTGCCATATAAGCTAGACTCTGGCAGGGGAGAAGGACGTGAAACAACTGATCATCCCCAAATTGCACTTAACTTAGAAACAGTGATAAGTGCAGGGGAAGAAAAGCACAGCACACTCTGAAAAGGCACACCAGGGAGGCAGGATTTAGAGTGGAGGACTAGAGGGAACGTCCTGGACAAGCTGACACTTAACACCAGACCTGAAGGAGAAGGAGGGGCTTGTCAAATGCAAACTGGAGGGGGAGGCAGTCCAGGTGGGAAGAATCACACCGCGAAGGCCCTGCACCAGGAAGAGGCCTGGTGGAGCCCACTGAGCATAGTGAATGAGGTGAGACGGGCTGCAAGGGAGCTGAAGAGGTGGAAAGAGAGATACAAGCAGTGAGAGATGACTGTAGAGGCTGTAGGTCAAAGACACTGAAAGAAAGACTGAAAGAATGACATTGAAAAATGTTCTAGGTGCAAGTGGGTGTACTCAAGGAGTTTTGATAAGAGTGCGCTGGGATTCAATTTATGTACTGCATTGTTTGGGAAGATAACAACTACTTCTAGATGTATTTACATGTCCCTCTTGGGCAGGAACCTGCACAATTTCTGCTGTAAGCACCCCGCAGGGCTAATATGTGGTGTGAGCAGCATACACACCTGGGTGTGATCCCAGCCTGACACCTGCTGGTCACATGGCCACGGGCACCACATCACCCTTCAAAGGCTATAAGACAGGTGCAAGCAGTGCCATCTCACAAGGTTTCCAAGAAGATTAGGTGAGGCAATAAGCTCAGTTTCTGGCCCACAGTAGATGTCCAATAACTGTTTACTTGTGTGCCAGTGAACTGGTAGATGCATAAATGAGTACAGAAAAAAAGCTGTGTTGGAATCATGAGTGTCTTAGGGGCAAACTCAAGGTTGCACAAAGTGGAGACTGTTCCATCAAGGGAAGATGCAGTTGCTTGGAGTGATGTTGTCAATGCCAGAGGAAGTGTAATGTTGGATTTGCAGGCATCTATCATGGCTTAAACGGGAAGACTTTTGTGCCAGGTAAGAAGTGAGCTCCAACACTCAGTCACTTTAAAATCTAGCTTTGAAGGCTTCAGCTTATTTTCCCTTCTCACAAGGCCGAGTCAAGTACAGGGGGCAGAGACTCCCTCTGCTGTTCTTCCAGGGAGGCTCAGAGGAGGAAGAACATGTTCCAGAGTGCCCTTCTCCATTTCTCAGGGCCCAAAGGAGAAAGAGACACACAGATCTGGCCCCGGCAGAGCCAGGCCTCCTATCAGAGGTACGGAGGGAGGTTCCTGCAGGTGACATTCCTTCGAAAGACATTATGGTTGTGGATGGGGCCAGGGGACAGAAGATCCCCCACCTCCTACCTTCTGGAGACGCTTGCTGTTCTCTGTTGAATGCGATTCCTTATTATATCATCTATTCAAGGAAAACTGAGGTTGCAAATAATGCATGAAAACACATTTTCTTCATGGTTATAGCTCAGTAGGGGTACCCAAAATACATTGCCTGACCTTTACAGGCATTTCTTCATAAAACAATGCAGGCAATGCCCAGTCCTTTCTTTCTTTTCCAGAATGAATGCCCTGGGCTCAGCGTTATCTCTTTTTGTTTTGAGTGTTCCCTTCCTCCTTTTTTTTTTGGTTAGCAGGTTCAGATGTAGGCAAACAACTGATTTCCTCTTACAAGAGAAACTAAATATTGTTTTAACATCAGATTCTAATAGAATTGAAATCCTTTTCAGGGTATTTTGAAAGTGTGATTGCAAAAGACAAAAGAACCCTGGGGATGGGTTAACTCAAGGTCACGCCCACTGGAGATGGGGAGCAGACAGCAGAGGGTTTCAGGAATCCAATGAGAAACACCAAGAGTCAAAGCTGGGGTCTGTGACAATTATGCGACCTGGGCCACAGGCCAAATATTTCCTTGAATCTCTGCCTGAAGGAAATCTTCTGTTAAAATAGCAAATTTTATACGGATATTATCCTGAGACAAAACCCACTTATCTTCTGCATATTCAACACCTGGCAATATAACCTCTGTACTTGCCTGTCTCAAATCTTCTTTCTGGCTTCTCATTAATGCTGTCCCTAAATGTTAAGTTACCCCACTGTTGTCCAGCAAAGCTTTGCTCTACTTGGCAAAGAGGAGAGGGGCTTTTCAACAGTCTCCCTCATTCCTCCCCTTTTCCCTCTGCCTCCTGCCTTATTTTGATTTAATTCCTTTGAGAACATGGACCCCACCTTCCACAAACTCTCTGGAGATCCTACGCCTTGTTCATTGTCCCCCTCTTTTGATAAATTTGTTCTGAAATGCTCAAATAATCCCAAATCACCATTTTCAGTGAGCCGTTGCCAGGGTTTGACTACAGTCTTTCTTCATGTATTTTCCCCCTCCTCCAAAAAGGTAGTACTGCAGAAACCCAATGGTAGTGATAGGAGAATGGAAAGTCTGAGAAGGGCATGGGGCAAGTCCCAGTTTCACTGTTTAATTTGTCTATGACTCTCCAGAGCACAAGATACAGCCATGATAAACATGAACTAAAATGAAGAGCAAACTCAACAGCAAGCTGCCTGGAGGCCTGTGACAAATGGAAATGGTGGTTTTTGGATGGGGCTGGGTCTTGAGGAACACTCTGCTCTGTTTGGCTGGAAGGGAGCTTGGAGTCGAATCCATACCCTCTCTCCAGTGCTTGGAGTAAAGGATCACGAAGTCATTATGGAATTAGCAGCTTGCCCAGGGACATATTCAACCCTCTAGTTTCTCCAGGTGGTATCTGGAGTCCAGGACACTTCTTTTCAGATCCATAAGGTCAAGAGGGCTGTAGCTTCCTATGTAAACTAGTTGAGGTCTCCTAGTCTGGGGGAAGGAGCTTGGGAAATGGTATAACCAGGTGGCTTTCCTGGATTTGGGGATAGCACCATCTCCAATTCTGTACTTCCTCAGATCCTTCCCATGCTATTTGTGTCCTGCTTCCTTGGCCATAAATCACAGCCACTAAGAGGGAAGTGGATGTTGACCAAAACAGTCCCAATCTTGACTAGGGCAATAGTTAGTCAAATGTAAAAATTTGCATGTCAAAATTCATAGAACCATACAACTAAAAAGAGAACACTCTACCATATGTAAATTATACTTCAATTAAAAATAGATTAAAAAGAAATTACAGCCTCCTCAGAACACTAATGAAAGACTGATTTAAAAAAAAATGAAAAAAAGACACCCAACTCTGCACCAGCTCCCTCTTCCTCCTTCTGTGTCATGAAGCAGTCACCATTTGAATGGTAAACCTACCTCCCCTGGGCCAGGAACATGGACTTTGTGTGTCACTGTGCACCTGTAGGTGGATACTGTTGCTCTGTCCTCTCCACACAGGAATGCAGCCTTCCCTGGGCCACTGTGGGCTGGAAGCGGGAGAGTTGGGACTAGGCCCTGGTCTGCATGCTTTTCAATCTGTCCTCTCTCCCCTTCTACACACATCCACATTGGGTGAGTTTTGACCTTTGGAAGCCCTACTCTCTAGGCAGATAGAGCCCCAGGAATCCAGTCATTTCAAGTGCTATGTTGCAGCAGGTGGATGCTCATGGTGTCTTTTGACAATAGGAAGCCACATGTTTTTATTTGTAGAAAGTCAATACTCCCATTCTAGGCATTTTTTTACATAAGTTCTCCCTCATTTCAGAAAGTGCCCCCATTGTTAAGCACTAAAGTCCATTCCTTCACAGGATTGAGGACCCTGCCTTTCAGTTGATATAAAGTTGATGAAAGTTGGAAAGAAGGACATGATCAACCCCTCCCTGAAGAGCAGAGGCATGTGAGCCTCAATTTCACAAGGACCCCAGAGCTTTTGATAGGCTTCTTTTACTAGGCAGACCCAAGCCCCTTATTAGAGCTTGCACCACTGATCCCTGGCTCTCAGGGCAAAGTCCTCATCCTTGAGGTGGCATAGAAGGCGTTGGGCTCCTAATCATGTGCCTGCCAGTGCCTCACATGCCCCTGTGGTCTGTAGGTCACATTGAGCCCTTCGGTGCCTTCCACTGCAGGCCCTTTGCACATGCTGTTCCCTTTGCTTAGAGCTTACAGGAACACCCTGTGCCCCGCCGCTTCCTTTCCTAGTTAATGCCCAGGTACCCTTCAGAGGAGGTCATCTCCAGCCATTTTCCTGGGGGAAGCCTGCTCTGAGTCAAGGGCAGCTTCTTTTATCATCTCTTAGAAAGCATATTCCTTTCCCGTATAGTGCTTATTTAGGTTTAGAACTGTACTCTCATTTCTGTGCTTATTTGATTAATGCATATCTTTTGCCACTAAACCTCCAAGCTCCATGAAGGCAGAAGCTGCCTTTGTAGATTCATCATTTTGTCTCAAAACCTATTGCACTGCCTGAGAGAAGCACTCAGCAAACTGTCCGCATGTATACTCACCTGCATGCTAGTCAGCAAGACAGTTTCCAGGGTGTGCTGCTGGTTGACGGCGTACACCATGGTGGAGCTGTCTCAGAAAACACAGCCCTAGGATTCTAACATTTGTCCTTAAGGAATCCGAGGCTATGCTGTCATCTACTTATGGAATGAGAATGTGGGAGACAGCGGTGATTCACTACCTCCATCTTCTCAGAGAAGAGTGTCAATGCCCACATCTGCTAGGATTCATGTCTGGTTTCTGAGGCAGTGCGGCCGAAACATGCTGCATTTAGTTGATCCTTTTCATCCACCTCTAGCTCCTAAGGAATGCTAGTTATGATGCCTTTAACGAAAGTGAAGCTAATATTTCACAGACGAGTGCGAAAGTCATATGCATCTTTGCTCACAGATCAGAGCTGACAAACTGGGCAAGTATCCTGTTGAGTGAGAGCCTGTCATGTCCAAATACCATCTTCCCTGACCATCTGGGAAAACGGAACACCTGACTTGTCATGGAACGGTAAATTAAAGACAATTTTTAAAAGAAAAAGCAAGATCTCTGATGGATGGAGGGATGAGAAAAGGCTTTTGCCACCTGTGGCAGAAAATGTTTTTATTCACAACGATGTCAATAGCTATGACTTCTGGCCTTAGTAGGTAGAACAAGATGACCATCGAAGCAAGTCTCCCAGGCAGGTGACGTATGTCAGTGGCTTTCAGGATCCTGGCTGTATGGCTCATGACTTCAATTCATTGCAATCTTCTGTACACAAACTACAAGGGAGGGTTTCATGCAACCAGTTGTTACAAAAGCCTGGGGTTGATGGAAGTAAAGCTGGCAGCACTGTTGATGGGCTCTAAACACAGCCCCGACAAGTGTTCAGGGTGCCTTGCTGCTGCCAGGGAATTGAAAAGGACTTGAAGCTGAAGAAGAGAGCAGTGGGTGGGCTCACCCTCCACCTCCACCCCGCCTCCATCCTCATGACTTATGACTGCAGAGTCAAGGGCAGTGTTCACGTTCATTTTCCAGCGGTGATGGAAAGAGGACTAAGCAGAGAAGTGTGCTATCTCCCACCCTCCCACCATCCGATTCGTGTGTCTCCCCGGTGTCTCTGCCAGCAGAGTTTACAGCTGGAAAGAGCTCAAAACTTGAAACTTCCCTTGGCGCATATTTCAAGTGGGAAACTGAGGCTTAGAGAAGTTAAATCACTGCTCACGGGGTAGCTGAGGCTAAGGTGTCCTGCCTCTCAGAGACTTTTCTTTCTATCACCTGTAGCTGCCTCTCCTTCAACCTTCATCAACTAAGTTAAAAGGTTGATGTTGCTAAATAGAATGTGTCTTATTCCATGCTAATCTGGGCAGCCACACAATAGTGTTGCCAAGACTCCCGATAGGTGCCACGCCTTGCTTATCAGAGAGTTTGCCCAGTCTGATCACTGGGACACTAAAGAAAGGATCCCCCAACCCCACATACAAGCTGGGAAGAAGCTCTGGTGACCACTGCCAGTGCTGTGAACCCCTCACCTCACTGCTATCAACCTGGGTGGTCCTCGGAGTTCCGTTTAACCACATTTATCATGTGCCCATCCTGGCAGGCACTGTCAGACACTGAGGAACAAAGAAATGGTGCAGTTTAAAAAACCTCCAAGTAGTTATGGTTACACAAGACCCACAGACATGGAGACTGACTTACTCCAGATGCCCGAGGTATCCCTGGTGGGTACCGACAAATTAGGGATGGTTGATAGCTCTGTGTATATGCATGTGTGTTTGCAGGATGAGAGGGTTCTGTGACTTAGTTTTGAAACTTCCATTCCACAGTCATGTCTCTAGTACGTAGTACAGACATGGCTACGCATTCTCTCAGAGTGGTCTGTGAGGCTGACCACTCTGAACAGCACAGGGTGTTGCCCTTTGGCTGTCTCTCCCCGTCCCCACACCATCTTCCCCATAGCACCAGAATGATTGTCCAGAATCAGGCTGGCTAAACTCAGAGGTAGTCTCTGAGTGCTAAGCCAGGTGGGCCCCCCCAACCTTCATACATGTTCCTATGTTGTCACACCAGATGCTAACATAAGTGTTCCAAGTTCTCCTTTGTCCCCTCCCCTGCTTTTATCAGAAAGCAAAATTAAAGCTCTTCTTGAGCTCTTTCCCTGTGGGAAAGATAATTTATCCTTTGGTTAACACATCAGGCAACAAAGATACAGCCTTTTATTGTGTTCAGCTTACATGTTAATATCTAATGTGGCTGATGTTTTACTGAACGATGATATTCTAAAATAGGGGGTGATGAAGCTGCCTCCTCTATCCAAAACCTGGGCTGGTTCCCATCCCTCACTGCTCTCTGGTCGGCTTTTCCCGCCCGTGGCTCCTCTCTCACTCACCACCACAGTATAAATTGCTGCCTTAATGAGTTCTTACGTTCCCACATCAAAGGATCAGGGACCAAAAAATTACATCATAGGAGCTAGATGAGGTTTTTATTATCTCTGCTTTGTTATTACTGACCTGGTTTTGTCTTGCAATAAACCCCATGTCACGCCTCTCCAAACCTTTTCTACTCACAGGAAGACTGCTCCCGGCTCGGGGCAACCCAGGGAGACAGCTGTGACAGCAAGCAGGTGTTCCCAAGTGAGGGGTGAGTGGGGAGGGAAACAAGTGCCCCTGGCTGTTAACATTAGTCTCACTTAACAAGAGCCCAGGAAGGGATATAGAGGGCAGGTGCTTGGGGGCATCTTCCTTCCTCCTCTCTCCTGTACAAGCTGTGCTCCCACCACAAGGCAGAGTGTTGCAGAGAGGAAGGGTGCTACCTCCCTCCACCCTCTTGAGTCCTCTCCCAAGCAGTGGTTGTAACGAGCCACACACAGGGGCCATTCATTTCTCACCACCTCCTGCTTCCCAGTCCTTGAAGAACAGCCAGAGATTCAGGAATGATTAATATCCTAGCCCAGTTCCCAGAGGAGTCCTACCCATATGGAAGCATCCTTCCGAAAGCCAGAGTGCAGGGGAGAGGAGAGCAGCAGAAGAGTTCTGACACTCTCTGGCAGGTACATGGGCTGCCGGAAGGAACAGATGGTGGAGCTTAGGTGAGCATCCAGGAGATGCAGTCTTCGGGCTGTAGGAATGGGGCCCGACCTCTTGGGAGGTGGCCACGCAGGACGGGTAGGGGAAGGGCTCTTCAGAAGGTGGTGGTCCTGGTGAGGGGGATGCGCTTGTGGCTGGGCTCTGGTTGCAGGGGTTCCTGCTGGCAGGGGAGCGGGGGGCACATCCACCCTGCCCCACCTCTGCTCTTGAGAGCAGTGGCATAGTAGTCCAGGGGCTCCTCCTCAGCACCGCCAGCACCTTCCAGGAGGCAGCAGCGAAGGCAGAGAACCCGCTGGAAGGATCGGCGGAAGTTGTCGGAGAGGAAACCATAGAGTACGGGGTTGGCGCAGCTGTTGGCATAGCTGAGGATGAGGGACACGTGGTTGACGGTGGCATCAAGGCTGGTCACAAAGAGATTCAGCAGCTGCACTACGTAGAAAGGCATCCAGCAGAGCACAAAGACGGCCACGACCATCAGCACCAGCCTGGTGATTTTCTTCTCCGAGCGCCTGTGCTGCTGCCAGCCAGCACGCAGGGCCACGGCCCGCATCTTGCCCACGATGAGCAGATAGCACAGGCCGATGGCCAGCACCGGCAGCAGGAAGCCCAGCAGGAAAGTGTAGACCACGAAGACTGCCGACCAGGCCGGGTGTGGCCAGTGCAGGTTGCAGGCCACGGCCTGGCCGCCGCGAGCCGGTCTGGTGTCTGCGAAGATGGCGATGGGGAGAGTGACCAGCAGGGACGCTAGCCACACGCCCAAGTTGATGAGCTTGGCCACGCTGGGCCGCCGGTAGGTAGCCGCGCGCAGAGGGTGCACCACCGCCACGTAGCGGTCCACGCTGAGCACGGTGAGACAGAAGACGCTGGTGAACATGTTGAGGCCGTCGACGCTCAGCACCGCGCGGCACAGCACTGAGCCGAAAGGCCAGTGGCGCAGGGCGGCTGACGAGGCCACGAAGGGCACGCTCAGCATGAAGAGCTCGTCGGCGACGGCCAGGTTGAGCAGGTAGATGTTGGTAGCCGTCTTCATCTTGGCGTAGCGAAGGATCACGAAGATGACCAGGGCGTTGCCCACCAGCCCCACCAGGCACACCAGCGCGTAAATACACTGGATGGCGACCATGCCCGCCGCCCCCGCGTCCCCGCGCCCCGCCACCGCCTCCTCCTCCTCCGCAGGAGCGCTGCTGGCATTGGCTGCGGGTGGCCAGGCCGTCTCCAGCCCTTCTTCGCCCCCGGGGGGCAGCGTCGAGGGGGCGTTCATGCCCAGGGGTGCCGGCGCCGGGCGGCCGGGCGCGGCGGAGCTAGCGCTGCCAGAGAGAGCGCGGGCGCCGGACCCGGGGCGGGGGCTGGCGCGCAGACTCGCGGCTCTTCCCAGCTCCGCTGAAGAGCTGCAGGCACCGCGGAGCGCCGGCCAATCCCCGCACCCCGCGCCTTACCGCTGCGGGGGCCCGCCTGGCTCGCACCGCTGTGGCCAGCGCTCCTAGGCACCCCAGCTCCTGGGCGCCTGGCCTCACACAGCCCTGGAGTCCTCTCCGGCCCCGCTCCGTTTTCCCACCTTCGCAGCCCCTTCCCTGCTGCCTATTCTGCCCCAGGTTCCCGGGTATCCAGTCCTGCTCCAGGGCCAACAGTAACCCCCGCCCCGTATGGCCCTCTCGGGGTCCCCCGCCTGGCCTCTTTGCTTCACACCTCTATTCAGATTCCGTCTTCCCCAGCAGCCCTTTGAGGTTCAATTCCCTGCTTTGGTACAGGGGGTCTGCAGCGGCGGGACTGGGGGTCCCGGAGTCCTCCCTTTGGGTAAAGATGTGCCCGGAATTGGTCAGGGACCACCTGGAACCTCGGAGACACTTGCCTTGCACTTGACATCCCCTCACCCTGCCCTTTAATCCTCGCGACGACCCATCCTGGCCCATGGCTGGGTCCATTTGACAGAGGCGGAACCTGAGGCTTCCACTAGCCTCTTGGTGAATTTCAGGTCTGTCAGGATGTCGTTTTCCCCACCGCTCACCATTCCTTTCCCTGCTCCCCAACCCACCCCGGACAACTGCAGATGCCGGACCTTTTAACTTCTGTCTCCGAGCAGTTGAGGTGGGGTGGGCACAAGGAATGGAGACAGACAGGTGGAGGTAGAGATGCCACCAAAGAAGGCCAAGCCTGTACTAGCTCCCTCAGGAACTGGCAGAAAGCTACGGGAGCCGGACATCTCGGAAACTTCACCCTGTGACTGCGTCTCCATCCCTGGCCTCTGAAATGTGCCTGGGGAGGACTGCGGTTGAGAGGTTGGGAAAGAAAGTGGTTCCGGGCTGGAATTCCCCTTCTCCAGCTAAACTCTAGAGATAGTGAGTTCACTCACCCCTGGGCTGGACACCCAGGAGCAGCCGCCAGCTCCAGCCCTAGTCCCTCTAGCTGGCACAGGGCGCAGCAACGTTCCTGAACTGGGGATCGGCCTGGGAAAGTTATTCTTAAAGTAGCGCTGACTTTAGGAGGCTGACTGTCTTTGGCCCCATCTCTGTGGGATAGTGGCCCCCTTTAGTCCCCAGCACAGCCCATAAGGGCTTTTGGTGGGTCTAGAATTGGCTACCTGGGGGATGGGGCCTCAGCTTTCCGCTGGGTAGCTGGGACAGTGATGGAGAGGAGGGAGTCGGGATGCAACTGGAGGAGGCCTTTCCAAGGCTGCGGGGGTGGGGGAGCTGCCGATTGCTGTTTGTCCAGGCGTGGGATGGGAGCATGGGCTGATCAGCGACAGTGCAGCTCCATGGTTGACCTCAACCACTGTCCCCGTTCTCTGTCACTCAAATAGATGTATTGGGAGGATTTGGTCTAGCACTCCTCCACTCTGTAGGTTGGTCTGTCCTTTCCTCTTTGTCCCTAAGAGAGAGACTCTTCGCATCTTTGCCCTTAAGAGAGAGACCCTTCCCTCAGAAAGAGGAAGGAGATGGCACCTTTGTCATTCTACTTGGCAACATCCTTTGGTGGAAGGGAACAAGGGCAACCTCAGATTTGGGAGGGAAGAGGAGTTTAGGGGCTTTTCCCTTTAACCCTGGTCTTGGGAAAACCCTGATGTGGCTCCTCTGCAGGTAGCCTTTCCAGGGCTTAGTGTGGAAGTGCTGGGGGTATCTTGTCCTCCTGGTCTCCTCTCTTCTGCTGTCCTCTCGGCCCATTGAACACTTGGCCCCTTCCCTTTCCTGAGAAAGTATTTCTTCTTGTCCTGCCTCATGTCTGAGCCCCTGGAATCCGTCCCATGTCTACTTTAGGTTTTTCTCCTAATGCTTCCTGATTCTGCCCTCCTCTCCCTATACACCTGTGTATACCTCCAAGCATAGTAAGCTAGCATCTAAGAAGAGAAGCATGCACAACTGTCCCCAGGGTTATTAGCCCTATGTAGCAAAAAACTAGTGCTTCCAGGAACTTACTTCGCTGTGCTGTAGGTCCCCTCTGCAGCATGAGGTCCTCAACCTCAATACAGAGTTTTCCAGTACACGCTGCCTGCTGGCATTACCTGAAAGCCTCACACATGCATGCCTGGGCCCTGTCTTCAGAGACTGTAACTGAATTATCTGGAGTGGCGTCCAGGCATCCATATATTTTGAAGGCTCCCTGTTACTTCTAAAGTGCACAGATGCAACAGTAGATGGAGAGACAGAGAGGCAACAGCTTGGGGACCAGCTACGATGTACAGATATTACTGTGCATTCAGGAAGGCTAGCGGAAGAGGTCAGGAGAAATGTCAGGAAAGCCAAAAAGAGAGACCCCTGCTCACAGGAGTGGGAAACTGGAGACTGCTGAGGGGCAACCTGGGAGCCCTGGGACAGGAAGAGGCTGGGGCAGCTGGGTGTCCATAGCTGTTCTCTCTCAGGACACTAAAGAAGCACCGGAACAGGAAAGAAGCCACTACCTTTCTCCCCCAGGAGAGGAGACCTAGAGGAACTTTCACGCTGAGTTAAAACACGGGAAAACAAAGTCTGTTTGTGAGATGCTTTTCAGCACACCCATCCCGTCCTTTTGCCCAGTACACACGGGGGCCTGTTCCTGGTCTGTTGATTAAATTCCAGCATCAGGCCCAAGTGGCTTCCCTGTACATTGTGAGAGTGGCATGGAGCCAAAGATAGACTGAGTCTAGGGGACTTTCTCCTCCAAGTGCTGAAAGCATGGCCCGCAGGCCTAACTGATTCCTGTGGAGCTTCCAGCCCAGTGATGAGACAGTGAATCAGGGGACTCTCAGCCCCTCCTGAAGCCAGAAGCAGCAGCTCCTTTGTTAGAGATGTGAATAACTCGCATCCCATTTCCATACTTCAAAAGTGCTGCTCAAGCTTGGAGGTACCTGGAACCTCAAGCAACCTTCAGAACCTCTGGCCCACAGGTCAGACAGACACGGCTTTCCCTGCAAGTCACAGTGCACCAAGAGAAGTCTTGGTTCTCAGCGGCAATGACAGCAGGTCCTGAAAGCCACTTCTATTGCCTGCTGTTGTGGAAAATAATCTGAAGTGCTCTCAGCAGCTCAGAGTGGCTTTGACCAGTTCTGCCACTGAGCATATTAAAAGCATGATTTACCCATGGCTAAGAGCAGGACATTGTCTGAAGTCGCCTGTGTGGAACAGGAAAGTGTCTTCAGGTTCCCACCTAAACTCCAGGGACACCCTAGATATTGCAATGATAGAGCCCTCAGCTCTACCCCACAAACTCAACTGTTACACCAGATATAAAGGTGAGGGCTTTCTTAAGATTTCATTAAATGATTTCCTTTAAAGAAATTGAACCCACAGTCACATGAGATAAAAGAAAAGTCAGCCAGAGAAAGGCACAGGACTGGGATAGGTCACACTGGTCCAATGCTTACAAAGTATCCAAATGAGGTCACTCTGCTGTCACTGGCTGGAGGACAGGGGCTGCAGCACATTGGGGTAACTATGAGCAGCACCTCTGTTCTTTGGTAGTTGTTTTCAGACTGTCTTAGCAACCTGGCTTCATGGCTGTGCATATAAAGAGAATGAGATGTAAGATGGAAAGCAAGGATTTCAATTCTGAGCCATCTACTTACTGGGGTGTGAGCGTGGGTGGGGCCCTTGGAGCAATGCTTCTCAAAATGTGACCCCAGACTGGCAGCATCAGCCTCTCCTGTTAGGAATCCACATCCTGGCGCCCGCCCAGACCTGCTGGATGGCAAATGCAGAGGGCAGGGCCCAGTTGTCTGTGAGTTAACCTGCCCTCCAGGGACGCGATGACTCTGGAGTCTGAGAACCACTGGCTGAGCCCTTCTGGGCCTTGCTTCCTTATCTGGCCACTTCCCAGGGTAGTGAATGAGGATCAGGCAAGAGAATTTTCCATGAATGTGTTCTGAAATCTCTAAACCATGGCCACGTGGGCTATGGGGCACTCACAATGTGGTGAGTTCGAAGTCAGGTGCTGTGTTAGATGCACATGGGATCTCAAACACTTATGATGAACAAAAGAATGTAAAATATCTCAATACTTCTTATATTTCTTACATGTCGAGATGACAATATTTTGAAAATAGAGATAAAGCATATTATGAAATGAATTTTACTTGTTTCTCTCTCTCTCTCTCTTTTTTTTTTTTCCTGTGGCTACTTAAAATTTTAAGTTCCATTCGCACCACACATTCTATTTCTACTGCATTATAGACCTACAGGATATGGCTATTCCCATAGCAGTGCTGCCCAGGGTGATAAATGATGCCACTAACAAGATGGCCCTGTGCTGTCAATACAGGAGCCGCTAGACCCCTGTGGCTCTTTGAATTTAAGCAAATTGAAATTAAAAATTTAAATGGGCTTTCTTAGCATATTAACTGTATTTCAAGTGCTCAGTGGTCATGTGAGGCTGCGGCTGCCAAGCTGGGCAGTGCAAACCTGAAATGCTTTCATCACAATGGAAAGTGGAACCTTTGAGGTTAAGGGTAGAACCTTTAAAGCCTGGAGTTCCACCGTGGCTCTTGCAGTCTCAGCCATGGTTGCATACCTTCCAAGCTCCACTGTCTCTTCTTCCTTGTGGACCAATCCCCGATTTTGTTTAAGATTGCACTTTAAATGTACCTGTGTGCTCACATCGGTTTCCTCTGCAGGACCTCAGATCACTTCAGGGGTGGGCACGTGGCCCAACCATGACTGATGAGACATGCAGGGAAATTTGCAGAGACAGCTTCTAGGAGAGGTTGGGCTCTTGCAGCCACCCTGTGACTATGAGGTAAGAAGCTTGTCCAGTGTGATAACCGAGCCACTGAAGATGACAGGGAAGACAGCAGAATGGAACCAGGCTACTTGATCATAGTGAGAGCTGACAAGGCAGCCAACCTGAACTTCTT